AAAACATGATTGAGCTTAAAATGAAACGAGCAGCATCATCATCCACTAACGTGTTTTTTCTTTTTTTGCTTTTCGTTTCTGAAAGACTGAGCATGTGTGAAAACCTCTCGGATCCTACAAGCTTCATTTAGCAGGAGAACCTTCCAGCGCTGGGAAACACTCCAGCCAAGGGGGAAAAAGACAGTCAAGTCAGCAGAAACGGCTTAAAAATAACCGAATTGAGATCATTTCTTTTCTATTGCGGAAAACTGATATAAATAATTCCACATAAAAGAGTGGCGTTGAAGCTGCCGGCTGTAATGATTGGGGAGACGCAGCCGCGCCGGCGCCGGTGTGTGTGAGCGACGCTCGCGGGACGCTTGAGGCAGATCTCCAACGCAAATCAAGACGATGTTGCTTTAGCTTTGATGCAAACGATCAGCTGTGATGCGGTTACGAGACAATAATGCTGATTTGAAGAGTTGCTTATGGTTGCCACCCGTCCTGTAAAGTACAGAATCGGCTCGTATTTTACATAGACCCACACATAGTGGAATAAACAAATAAGGATTTTGCAGTGTGGATAATACTAATAGTGATTATACTACTTTATAAAACGGTTAGTTCCAATCCTTGATTCTGATTGGTCAATAGCTGTGCTTTATTCACGATAAAACACGGCTATGACCGCTTCACCCAACGGTTCTATGTATCACTACACAACACCCCTAGCAACCACTCTTAGCAACTTAAACAGATGTTTCATCTCATTGATATTGTTCATTTAAAGCTAGAGCAGAGCATTGTGAGAGATCGAGTAAGCGAGTGTACCTGCATTTACAGTAGACGTAGCATTTTCCTTCAGGTCAGTCCTATATTCATAATAAAAAAATGCGTTTGAATGTCCGCTGCATATTTTGTCCTTTTAACAGTCATGGGGTTTTCCGTGCATAACGTTAGTCATCTGTCAGTTGCGTCTGTCTTCTCCGTGATCACAAGTTCGAGTCCTTTCAAAAGCCTTCTCTACAGACTCACTCACTCACTCACTCATAAAGACAGTCTTTGCCGCCATCTATTGGCGAAATAATATATGTAACTTCTGTTGCTGTTCACGTTCCGGGACTATTTTTTCCAGCGGAAGGCAGGCTTTTAGTGATTTTACTTCATGAAAGTTGCATAGATACATATTTTTCGGCTTTAATATTTTTATTGTGTGGCAACCGTTTTATAAAAGCAATAAGGTACTCGAGGCAAGTGCTGTATCGTGAATAAGTAACGGCTGAAGGGGTTGCAGGCACTCCGCTTCGCGTCGTGCCTAACAACGCCCTCCAGCCGTTACTTATTCACGATACAGCACAGCCTCTCGTACCTTATTGCTTACTTAAACCATGGTCTGGGTGAATACTCGATTCTGATTGGCTGCAGGGTGTCCATTAAAAAGTGATCGAGGACACCTAGTAAAGTAGTTCCGGTGAAACTGACTGTTTACCGTTCGAAATTAATTAATAAATGCGCTGGCTGTGAGTAACCATAGCAACAGGCAGTCAACGTATCCGATTACAATTTATTGTATCAAAACAAACATCTAGTTTGCCGTTATACTACGATTACCTGTGTGTTTTAATTATAGGTTAAAAAAACGAAAGTACGCGCATGGCTAGACAAGCCTAACTTACATGAAAAAAAATACGTTAAGTTTCTGGCTCGTAAGTTAGCTAAACTGAAGGGCTCTACGACTATAAATATCTCCGGTTGCTAAATAAACCGTCAGGCGTAACCAGGGAAACCAAGTAATTGTTTGTAAAACTATTATATTTGTAGACGTTATTAGACAGATTAATTAATTAGTTAATTTTCTCAAAAAGTGCAAACGTGCAACATGAGGTAGGCCTGAATGCACTTGTTATGTCTTTCCACTTTTTTATTTTGCGGGGGTCAAAATAATTACTTCGTTAATAATTCGTAAGACGAGTAACACTGGAGTTTGGTTTATTGAATACGATATAATCAATAAATATGAAATAGTGTGATTTCAGAGAGGTTTAGGCCTATTGACGACAACATAATATGTTAACTGAGAAGTTTTTGTATACTGACCAAAAGAGAGAAATAGGCTACTATTATATTTCTAGATGTTATTAGCATCAAACAGATTAATTAATAGATTATAATTAATGTTATTTATTAATTTATTGTTAATAATCATATATGCATAAAAAAATTATGATCTTATCTGTCATACACAATTCATGGCATTTACTTTTTTTTTTTTTAAGTGCTAAAATATTTTTAATAAAAATGGGACAAATAATTACATAATACAGTCATAATTTAAGTAGTAAATACATTAACAATTTAAAAATGTTCCCATCCATGCAGAAACATGATCACTGGTTCAGAATGACTGCTTACGGCACACCAACATACACTGAAGAGTTATGTAGAAATAAATAAACATTTGTTTGGTTTGAAGATCCTAACCGACCCAAAACTGAAACCAAAAACTTGGCAAACGTCTCACCTCGTCATCCTTGTACCAGGACAGCGATTCGGCCGTCATCACAAACCAGTACTCTTTAGCGCCGCCCTTCATGATGCCGATGTTATTGATGGTCAGCCAGCCCTTCCTGATCACCTGGAACACACAGACGGCGTGTGTGTGTGTGTGTCACTGCATAACGCTCAGTGTTACGTCCACTGACACACACAAGAATCTGATGAACACTTATAAACCCCAAACATATACAGTCAAACCAGACATTAATCAGACACCAGATATACTTTTTTTTTTTTCATTTATGTAAGTGAGGAGAGCCAAATAAAGTGTGACATATTATACACAAATAAATCTTCATAAACTGAAATTTATAAAAATTTGTGAACAGAAATGTTTTGCTGAAGTGTGTTTTCTGTAACTGCTAATGCTCTTTTTACACACACACTGAACAACATGAAGCATTGCTTGGTCACTGGTTGAGCTAAACTGGTATTATCTAATTGTGTAGTTAAATTTAACAGCTGACAGATATTCAACATAATTCATGTGTGAGAGTCTAACAGAAGGACGGACAAAACCGGTCAAATATCCACTGATTCTTGTCATATTTTATTGGCATTTTCTAAACTATAGCGAATAAACTGAGAAATGTTGAAGGCGTTGGAATATATTCAGGTTTGACTGTATACAAGCAGGGCTTGACATTAACGTTTTGCTCACCAGCAACTCTGACTAGTGGTTTTCCAAAGTTACAAGCCACTCAGCGTCAATTTTATCATCGATATCACGGGGAAAAACTGCCATAAACATATTTTTAACATCATCTCATAATTTGGCAGCAGGTTTATTAGGCTCCTGTCACTTTAAGACCTGACGCACGGATCCATTTATACAGTTACACATGTAACAACTGTTTACATCCACTTATCCTCTGATGGTCTTCGGGGTCTTTTTAACCCGCAAATGACTTTTGCTGAATTTAACCCTCTGGGCTTCTTCGTAAATGGGTTACACTTAGCTTCCTCCCGGTCAAAAACGGACGAAGCCTTAAAATGTAACTTTACTTTTTCCCAGGATAACCAATCAAATATTGTTTTGTTCTATAATATTTTCTGATTATTATTTAGAATTTTTAACGATACTTTGCATTAATTATATAATTTTTATGAGCTATTTTTTCCATTAGAATTACTATATATATTTTTATTTTATATTTATTTAAAAAAAAATTCAATAAATGCAACATTTCACATCAAAATAGAGTGCCAGCCTAAAAAAAAAAAATGTTCAAGTAGAAGAGCGCTATCTAGTGGCTTTAAAAAATAGTTAAATGTGTGCAATGTCCTGTACCAGCCTGTAGGCTGCCTATAGCTTCCTATATAAATTCATAGAAAGGCTTTTTGATTCCTTTTGTTGTTTTAGACATGATTTCTCTATCTTATTCGGTTTTTTTTTTTTTTTTTTTAGATATACATGTAGATATTCTAAAAGACTACTTAATTTTTTTAACAAATTTTTTTTAGATAAGTATCAGGTTTTGCATTATGATTAAAATCAAACTATAGCATTTGGTTAGAAAGGGAACACAATGCAAACATTTTTGTTACTCAGTATTTGATCATCAAAATAATTAAACAAAAATAAGGGATGGTTAGTGATAGTTCAAAACACTTTATACAGACATTTAGCAATAAATTGGTATTTTTTATTTTTTTATTTTTGTATATTCTCAAAATTTGCTGTTGCAGTCTTACCAGTTAATCTCTCTCTCTATCTCTCTCTCTCTCTGTGTGTGTGTGTGTGTGTGCATTTGAGCGAGATTTTTTTTTTCATTTATTGATTTTATTTTGCATATTCTACAAATTTGCTGTTGCAGTCTTGCCAGTATACCTGTGTATGTGTGTGTTTGTGTGCGTGTGTGTGTTTGTGTGTGTGTGTGTGTGTGTGGGGGGGGGGGGGGGGGGGGGGGGGGGGTCTTATTTGCACTCTTGATGTTTTAGAGTGTCACCCCTTCATTGCTGTACACTTTTTTTCTGCACAGTGGCTGATCTGTAGCTTGTACCACCAAAAGTTTCTCTGAGTTTTCCTATTTTTTCATATTTCCCATTCATTTCCTATGTTGCCCGTTTTTGACCGGGAGGAAGCTAAGTGTGACTATTTTTTTTACGACCCTTTAACATATCAGAATCATCTCCTTGATTTTTTTGTGTTTTCATATAGGTAATACAACAAATGTCACCAAGTTTCACCCCCATCCGATGAAGCAAAAAAAATTAAACAATTCAAAATGTAAACGTTTTCGGTCATTTTCGGACGAAGAAGCCCAGAGGGTTAAAAAAAAATGTATCTTTGTCCAAATGGCAAGAAACTTTGTACGGCTCTCATCCCTTTTTTTTTTTTTAAAAAAAGGGGTTTTTATTGTTAGAATTGTGATTTCATAATATTTAGATATGAATCCAACTGGAAAAACTCTTGAAAAGATATATTTTAGTTAGTCAAATAACTAATCACATATAGTGGAGCTCTATAGCCATCTAGTGGCTAAAAAAATAATTTTTATTACTTTTCTTACATTTTCCAAAATATGGGCACTTTTTTTTACAATAAACCATGTAAAATTATCTAAATTTAGAAATTTGGGTCTTTTATAAAGACATTTTATTTTACATAAAAAAAACATTTTTTAATTTATTTATATAAATTTAAAATGTATCATAAATCCGAAGACCCCAAAGATAACTAGTGTCATCCCAAATGAAGACCATCAGAGGGTTAAAACATAACCGACTGTTTACATGAATATTCGTTCACATTACATTATTTTATGTATTTGATTGTTTAAGGTCAATAAGAAGCGAATAATAACTCAGTTTAGTTCTGAGAGATGAGCACGAAATCTGCAGGAATGAGTAAAATTATGTGCAATACACGCCGAAATTCAAGCCCTGTCATAACATTCAAATTTATTTACTTATGTTTAATGTACAGAACAAAATACAATAAAAAATAAAAAAACGAATAGTCCTATAAGTCTTTTTTTCTTCTACAAAAACACCAGACGTGTTCTCGACAGAGCGGAACAAAAATACTAGTTTTGACTAAAATCAAGAACACGCTTGTGGCATGAAGATAAAACGATAAACCTTTGTAATGCACACTGTACACACACACACACTACACTGTACACACACACACACACACTCCGGCTCGCTCATCCTCGTTACGCTTGACTGACGTCTTTAGTGACGCTGCAGGGAGACACACACTGAAGTGTCTTAAGCAACCGCTGACACACAGATGTAGACATGATGTTAATCACACACTGACAGTGCTGAGACACACACACACACACACTGTACTTACCATGATTTCATCCTGATGCGTACAGTAAAACAAGAATAAGAACAACATGAGGAGAAGAGGATATATCAGATATATCATTGTGGGAAACAGAACAGAGGAAGATCTGAGACACACACACTGATCTGAGACACACACACTGATCTGAGACACACACACTGATCTGAGACACACACTGATCTGAGACACACACTGAGACACACACTGATCAGAGACACACACTAATCTGAGACACACACACTGATCTGAGACACACACACTGATCTGAGACACACACTGATCTGAGACACACACTGATCTGAGACACACACTGATCTGAGACACACACACTGATCTGAGACACACACTGATCTGAGACACACACTGATCTGAGACACACACACTGATCTGAGACACACTGATCTGAGACACACACTGATCAGAGACACACACTGAGACACACACTGATCAGAGACACACACTAATCTGAGACACACACACTGATCTGAGACACACACTGATCTGAGACACACACTGATCTGAGACACACACACTGATCTGAGACACACACTGATCTGAGACACACACACTGATCTGAGACACACACTGAGACACACACACTGATCTGAGACACACACTGAGACACACACTGATCTGAGACACACACACTGATCAGAGACACACACACTGATCTGAGACACACACACTGATCTGAGACACACTGATCTGAGACACACACACTGATCTGAGACACACACTGATCTGAGACACACACTGATCTGAGACACACACTGATCTGAGACACACACTGATCTGAGACACACACTGAGACACACACACTGATCTGAGACACACACTGAGACACACACTGATCTGAGACACACACACTGATCAGAGACACACACACTGATCTGAGACACACACACTGATCTGAGACACACTGATCTGAGACACACACACTGATCTGAGACACACACTGATCTGAAACACACACTGATCTGAGACACACACACTGATCTGAGACACACACACACCAGAGATGCTCAGATTCATCAGCTGAGATCCATTATGAATATCATAAACACATGCACTGGAATTAAAATAAGAGTTTGGCGGTTGATGGGTAAATTGTGCATGATGAATAGCAGTGTGTGTCTGCGTTGTTTGGGTGTGCAGTTCAAAAAGAGAAATATGCAAATCAAGAAACACTGCAAAAAAATCTGTTCCCCTTCAGGGACTACTGCTGCGTGTAATCGCAGTGGGAACGCCCTCAGCGTGACGCGTCTGAAGCATGAATGAAATCAGTCAATGGAGAGAATGAGTGTACGGCGAGTGACGTCATCGACCAGGAAGCTATAAATATCCCCTGAGTACACAATACGCCAGCTTTAGTTACTTCAGCAGCTCTGTGTGTGTGTGTCTGAATCTGTCGATTGTGTTTGTCTGTTTTGTCAGGAGTTTTCACTATATATATTTTATATAAAAAAAAACAATATGAGCGAGCAGTATAAGAAGTGTGTTCCCCCCTGTACTCGGTACATCACGGGTGGGGATTCACACGAGCTATGTGTGGCTTGTTTGGGAGTGCAGCAATGCCCAGTCGGCTCTCGAGGGAGTCGATTGTCAGCATTGCGAGCGTTTTCCCTTGAGAACTCTGCGCTCGCGGCGATCGCTCTTCGAGGAGAGTGATTTGCTGCGAGCTCCCCGAGGCTCGGGTCCCGCTTCTGTTGAGGCAGAGCGGCGGCGCTTGTCTTGGGGCTCGCAGATCTTACTGGCGACGTTGAGACGGGCTCCGCCCTATCTAGATCTAGTGCCTCTCACCCGGCTCTGGAAGCACGCGCTGCGGCGGTTACTTCTGCCCGGGTGGAGGCACATGATGATGTTGAATTGAGATTTTCCAGTTCTGAGGAGCTGGATGTCGAAAGTTTTGCATCAGAGGAAACTAGTTTATCACATTATACTGCAAATGAAGAAGGTTTGATGGATGTGTTATCTCGGGCTGTTGAAAAGCTAAAAAAAAAAAAAAAAAAAAAAAAACAGTATCGAGTGGCCAGCTGATAGACAGGTTTCTAGAATTAAAAGCAAACTAGATGATAGATTTCTGTCTGCACGACCTCAACCTTCTCGCCGGTGCTTACCGTTCTTCCCAGATCTTCATGCTGAGGTTTCAAAGACCTGGGTTAGAACGGTTTCAAGCAGAATTTACACAAATCATTCCAATGCTTATGGTAACATTGTTGGTGCTAAATTTGCTGGTTATGTGACAATACTGTAGGCGGAGGAGACGCTTGCGAGCTATCTCTCTCCTGCTTCATCGTCTTCACTTAAAGCACCGGCTCTTCCACCAAAAAATAAATAAATAAATATATATACCTCTGTGCTGGTGGGGAAGGCTTACTCTGTGACATACGATGACTTTTATGCAGGCTTTTCAGGCCGACCTGCTCAAAGGAAAATCTGAGGGGGGTCCCCGCCGAGAGAGACTTGCGTTCACCTCCCTTAAGGGTGCCCTGTCTCTCCCGGCGCCCTCAGGGGCCCGTCCTACAGGGCGTAGAAGGGTCTGGCGAGTGCTTTCCCGAGGGACGCTCGCTGCCTCTAAGGAGGGTTCTAGTGTGTTCAGACCAGTCGTTCCCTGCTGGTGCGCCGTTACAGGGCACTGTGTCTGTCACGCAGAATGTTCAACCAGAGCAATATCTTTCGTCGAGTTCGTCTTCCAAAAGAGCACAGCAGAAGCGGAGTGTCACGTCTCGTGCCCCCCTGCAGAGAAACTGGAGGGACGAGGCGGGACGCTCTCTGGCGCGGCCTTCTCGGGGCAGGACTGATCTGAGGACAGTCATTGTCGCCAGAAAGGCTGCGTCGAAAAAGTCCTGACGGGCTGAACGTCAGGACTCTGAGGGTGGTCCCCATCGTGAAAGACCTGAGTTCACTGCACAAGAACACGGTGCCCTGTCTTTCTCGATGCCCTCAGGGGTCTGTTCTACTAACCCTGCCTATACAGGGCGTAGAGAGACTCGGCGAGCGATTTCCCGAGGGACGCTCGCCCCCTCCGAGGAGGGCTGTGGAGTGCTCAGACCAGCTGTTTCCTGCCAGTATGTTACAGGGCACTGTGTCTGTCACTCGGGATGTTCATCCAGAGGCCAGCCTCGAGAGGCTGGTTCCCTTAGTAGAGTTCCTGGCGGAATGGGTCCCCCACCCAGCAGGGAGTTAGGATACTACTTCATCGGGAAAAAAAAAAAATCCTGACGTGCTGAACGTCAGGACTCTGAGGGTGGTCCCCATCGTGAAAGACCTGAGTTCACTGCACAAGAACACGGTGCCCTGTCTTTTCCGATGCCCTCAGGGGACTGCTCTACTAACCCTGCCTTCACAGGGCGTAGAGAGACTCGGCGAGGGTTGTGGAGTGCCCAGACCAGCTGTTCCCTGCCAGTACGTTACAGGGTGCTGTGTCTGTCACTGGGGATGTTCAAATCAGATCCGAGGACTGGTTTGTCATGATAGATCTAAAGGACGTTTACTTCCATGTATCTATCCTCCCTCAACACAGGAAGTTCCTGAGGTTCGCTTTCGGGGGCGAAGCGTACCAATATCGGGTTCTTCCGTTCGGCCTAGCTCTGTCACCCCGAACATTCACGAAGTGTATGGATGCTGCTATAGCCCCGCTGAGGTTACAGGGCATCCGCTTTCTGTACTATAAAGACGATTGCTTGATTCTTGCTCAATCGGAACAACAGGCGATTCGGCACCGAGATGTCGTTCTTGCTCATATCAAGTGACTGGGGCTGAGGCTCAACGCCAAAAAGAGTGTTCTTTCTCCATTACAGAGAACCACTTTTCTAGGTGTAGTGTGGGATTCAACGACGATGCAGGCACGATTGTCACCTGCTCGTATTGCTTTGATTCTCGCTGCAGTAGATCAGGTCAAGCTAGGCCAGTCATCCACTGTAAAACAGTTCCAGAGACTGTTAGGTCTCATGGCAGCTGTGTCCAACGTGATACCTCTTGGCCTCTTGCACATGAGACTGTTACAGTGGTGGCTCAAGACCAAGGGATTCTCCCCGAGGGGAAATCCGCTTCGCATGATCGTGAGTTCGCGACGGTGTCATCACGCCCTGATCATGTGGAAAGATCCTTGGTTTCTGTCCCAAGGCCCTGTGATAGGAGCTCCTTGTCGTCGCGTTCTGCTAATGACAGATGCCTCTCTCACGGGTTGGGGGGCGATCATGGATGGTCGCCCGGCTCAGGGTCTGTGGGAGGACCATCATCGTCTGTGGCACTTAAACTGCCTAGAGATGTTGGCGGTGTTTCAGGCTCTGAAACACTTCCTCCCAGACCTAAGGGGCCACCATGTTCTTGTCCGGACAGACAACACATCGGTGGTTTCTTATATTAACCATCAGGGGGGTTTGCGTTCTCGCCCGCTTTACAAACTGGCACGTCAGATCCTTCTATGGTCCCAGGGGAAAATTCTTTCTCTGAGAGCTATTTATCTCCCGGGGTATTTAAATCAGGGGGCAGACATCCTGTCAAGACAGGGGCCGAGGCCCGGGGAATGGAGTCTTCACCCCGAGGTGGTGGAACTCCTATGGAAACGTTTCGGTCTTGCCGAGGTAGACCTATTTGCTTCTCGAGAAACATCACACTGCCCGCTGTGGTTCTCTCTCAGCCATCCAGCCCCGCTGGGGTTGGATGCGATGGTACATCCGTGGCCGAGGTCACGCTTGTACGCTTTTCCCCCGATCGCTCTGCTCCCAGGAGTTCTGGAGAGGGTTCGCCGGGACGGGCTCAGTCTCCTGCTAATAGCCCCGTTCTGGTCGGCCCGGGTATGGTTTGCGGACCTAGTGTCTCTCCTCGACGGCTCTCCCCTAGAGACACCGATCAGGAGAGATCTGCTCTCTCAGGCGAGTGGGTCGATCCTTCACCCCCGTCTAGAGCTATGGAGGCTGTGGGCTTGGCCTCTGAGGGGGTCCAGCTCATAGATTCTGGTCTCTCGGCTGAGGTCGTTGAGACCATCCTCCGATCCAGAGCTCCCTCCACGAGGAAGTTATATGCCGCGAGGTGGAAACTTTTCACCTCTTGGTGTGGAGAGCGCCAGCAGGACCCAGTTAACTGCCCGGTTGGTACAGTGCTGGATTTCCTGCAGGACCGTCTCTCCACATGGTTATCCCACTCCACACTGAAGGTGTATGTGGCGGCCTTAGCTGCTTACCACACCCCTTCAAGTGGAGGTTCCCTCGGGAAACACCCACTTATGTCTCGCTTCCTTCGTGGCACCTTGAGGCTGAGGCCTGCAGTTCGCACGAGGGTACCAGCTTGGGATCTGGCCATCATCTTAGAAGGTCTCTCCCTTGCTCCTTTCGAGCCCATCGAGGAAGTTTCGGAAAAGTTTCTTACTCTAAAGACTGTCCTTCTTCTCGCTATCTCATCTCTAAAAAGAATTGGAGATATTCAAGCACTTTCGGTGGCTCCCTCGTGCCTGGAATTTGCTCCTGGTTGGTTAAGGCCTTTCTCTTTCCGAGACCAGGTTATGTTCCTAAGGTTCCAACTGTTTCTGTTAGACCTATAGTTCTGCAGGTTTTCTGTCCTCCGCCTTTTCTGACGTCAGACCAGGAGAAAATTAATTTGCTGTGCCCAGTTTGGGTTTTAGATGCTTACGTCCACAGAGCTGCCCTGTGGAGGAGATCAGACCAACTGTTCGTCTGTTTGGGTCACCTAAGAAAGGGTGTCCTGCATCTAGGCAAAGGATGTGCAAGTGGGTGGTCGAGGCCATCCCACTTGCTTATGGTTCGGCCCATCAGCCTTCACCTTTGGCTGTAAGGGCTCATTCCACCCGGAGTATGGCTGCTTCTACAGCTCTTCTTTCAGGAGCTTCTCTTCAGAACGTTTGTGATGCGGCAGGCTGGTCCTCACCGCACACTTTCGTTAGATTTTATTCCCTCGATCTTAGCTCCACTCCCGGGGCTCAGGTTCTCTCGTCGGTTTGTGTCTTCTAATGACACACGACAGGGATTTGGTCGTATGGGGATGTGGGTATTGCGTTCCCACTGCGATTACACGCAGCGGTAGTCCCTGAAGGGGAACGTCCCGGGTTACGTATGTATGCCTAGTTCCCCGAAGGGACGGACGCTGAGTGTCCTGCCATACTCTCTGCATCCCCTTGGGTCGCTGCTTCAGTAACTTTTAAGCTGGCGTATTGTGTGCTCAGGGGATATTTATAGCTTCCTGGTCGATGACGTCACTCGCCGTACGCTCATTCTCTCTATTGACTGATTTCATTCATGCTTCAGACGCGTCACGCTGAGGGCGTTCCCACTGCGATTACACGCAGCGTCCGTCCCTTCGGGGAACTAGGGTTACATACATAACCCGGGACGTTTGCATTCCTCCTTCAATTTAAGGCCATTTAAATCTGACAGGTTTTCAAACATCTCCCGCACACACACCTCTGGAGATCAGCTGAGGCTCGAGTCTCACAGCACACACACCTCTGGAGATCAGCTGAGGCTCGAGTCTCACAGCACATTCACATCTACAGATTCATGCTATGATTATGATTATGATTATGCCGGACCGGTCTAGGAGAACAACTGAAGAACATGCAACAGTGAATTAATGTGTCTATGAGCAGAACAGGACCGACACACACACACACACACACACACACACTCTCACTCTCTCTCTCTCACTCTCTCTCTCACACACACACACTCACACTCTTTCTCTCTCTTTCACACACACACACACACATGCTGTCACTTGCTGCCCTTAACAACTGATTTGAGTGAAGCAGAACTGCACCTACATCAGTGTAAGCGTGTGAAAGACCATCATCAAGCAGCTCTACGACTAACACACTGTTCTGGGCTCAGTTCGGCCTCCATCAACAGCATTCAGGGATTATTGTGTGAACGTTGCTTTTCATAGGAGTTCAATTATGCTCAGTAAGTGATTTATCACACAAGTATCAAGTGAACATGTAAAATGTTAAAGTCTTGTGGACATACTTTCAAAACACTGAGTATTTTAATGAATATTCTGCTGAGATCACCAACATAGACGCTGAGTTTGAGATGTTGGTGACACTACAGCATCACTGCAAATTCATTAAAGTTTAAACGCTGATGATGGAGCTGAACTTGAACTTAACGTCTGATCTAAAACCAGTTCTCTCTATGAAAGCTTGTATTGAACTGAGAGAAGCATGAGAACAAACCTGGCCCTGGATCAGTTGATAAGGGCGTGAAGATAAAGAATAAGAAACATAGATGAAGAACAGAGAAACACACACTGGACACACACATCAAATGAGCATGATTAACATTTAACACACAACATGCCTCTCCATATGAGGCTGTGTTATAAAGCCTTCACCTGATTACCAGCCGCTTTCTTCTTGCTCGCCTGACTGCTTCTCTGCTGAGCACTACACAGAACACAGTTCAACTTAAATAAAAAATATATACATGTATATTATATATATACACTGACGTTCATGTTTTTAAAAGAAGTCTCTTCAGCTCACCAAGGCTGCATGTATTTAAATTGAAACTACAAAACAAACAGTAATATTGTGAAATATTATTACAATTTAAAACTGCTGTTTTCTATGTGAATATATTGTAAAATATAATTTATAATAATAAATGTTTCTTGAGCATCAAATCATCATATTAGAGTGATTTCTGGAGGATCATGTGACACTGAAGACTGGAGTAATGATGCTGAAAATTCACAGGAATAAATTACATTTTAAAATATATTACATTAGAAAATGGTTATATTAAATTGTAATAATATTTCACAATATTTTACATTTTTTTTTATTTTTAATCAAATAAATGCAGCCTTGGTGAGCAGAAGAGACTCTTTTAAAAACATCAAAAATCTTACCGATCCCAAACTTTTGAACCGCAGTGTATATATATTAATGTCTGAATATTATATGATACTGGGTAAATAATTTGGGTCATTTGATGCTAAAGGTCGAGGAAACGTGGAACTCACTTGGCAAACCCGATGAAATCTTCATGGTTGGTGTTCATGTACGCCAGCTCGATGTCAATCAACAGCAGCACCTGACGAACACCAGAGGAAACAATCCCATCCGTTCCTCTCCACAACTCATCCTTCCCTCGCCGGTCAAAATGACCCGAAGGCTAAAATTATACTACTTTTTTTTTTTTTTTCAGCAAGCTTATTTTATTTCATTTTGGTAATATTGTTTCTATTTTTTAATGCAATTTTTGGGAGAATTTTTTATTTTATTTACCTTTCAATTACTAAAATTGATCAATAAATAAATAAATAGTAATTTAAGCACATATTCCTCACATTCTTTCAACTTAAATTCAAAATAACTCGCAATTTCATGCATAACCCTTTTAATTCAGCTCTAAATATCTTACATTGGAGTGTTTGCCGACCTCTGGTGGAAAAAATAATAATATAACATGATATTTCATGACTCTTGCCACTAGATGGCCTTATAGCTCTATATGAGCTGTTCCGCTGGGTCCTAAAGCCAGTTCCTTCAGTATGCATTCAGACACACATGTGGACATTATAAAATCATTTTTTTTGGTAAAGTTTTAGCATTTTTAGTTTGAATTTTGAGCATTTTTAGGTTTTTCTATGTGAACTGAAGCATTCCTCGCATTCCATTCATTCCTAAGGGGTCAAATTGACCCGAGAGGGAAGGATTTACGTTACTTTTTAAAATTTCAACCACAAAACTCATCAAATCCATAACATTTTTGTGTATTCATGGTTCAAGTGCTATAAAAGTCAAGAGGTCTTGGACTCCTCAGATGAAGACTCAATTTTTTTTATTTTTTTTTATGAAAAAACATTTCCGGGTCAAAATGACCCGAGCGAAGGATGAGGGTTAAAAACGTCCAGATCTCGTGACGGGACGGGCCTCACCTGGTCTTTAGTGCGGCTCTCGCGGTCTCGGATGTGCTGAGTGACGATCCGCTCCATCTCCTCTCTCAGCATGGGATACTGGGCCAACTGTGACACAATCACACGCGTTTGTGATGCCAATAAACCATACGACCAACACACTGAGTCTGCAACAGGTGACCACTACACCCTCTACTTACTGATAGACGAAAATAATGAGCGTGATTCTAAAATTAAGCCATTATTGAGAGAAAACCTGTTGCAAAGTCTGTGAAATCACAGTATCAACATAAAAAACACACTATTCTTACAATATATAGGCTATGCATGCATGTCAATCATGTTCGTTGCACAGACAGGGCCTAAAACTTTTTGCCACACATACCAATAGCCGGGGGAAATTTAGCAAACATAAATATTTTTTACCGGCCATGAAGCAAAAGTAGCCTGTTGTGACACCTCAATTTTCAAGTACATAAATTGAATAAAGTAGGCTAATTACATTTAAATAACACTAGTCACTGTATAAATTAAACATAGATTAATCCTTATTAAAGTTACAAAAGTTATTCAGCCAAGAGCAGTGAGTGTTTATATCATTACTGAGAGATGGCAGCAGGAATATTAGGCTACTGTCCCTTTAAGAGAGAATGCACGGCTCTAATATACTGATACTGACACACATGTCTACTTTCTCAACTGTTCACGACGTTCACTTAAGACATGACCGACTATGTTTACTAGGATTGACACCGCTTCATATACTGGTATTTGGCGCTTGGCGAGTGTTCATTTTAGGCCCTGTGCACAAACATACAGCATGTCACATGACTCTAAAGTTCAATGCATTAAAATAGTTAGTTGTGAGCCACTTGGCTTTGCAATGTCCAGTAATTTAGCTAGGGATGCACCGATATGAACATTTTGGCCGATACCGATAACCGATAATTCTTTTTATTTGATAGCCGATAACCGATATATCGGCCGATAAATCTAAATTTTTATAGAATTTTTGAGAGCCTGATTACAAAAACAAAAGTCTCACCATTAAAAGTCATGTCTCAAGCAAACAATTATAATGTTCTCATGTCATTTAATGCCGATATGACAGACTTGCCAACAAAATACTAAAGTGTATTTTCCTTTTTTGAAGTGATTTTAATCATATTTCAAGCTATTTAAAACCATCATGTTGAACAGTGCGCATCTGAAGCGTCTCAGCTGAAGGAAATAATACATTATTTATCGGCTTTAATATATCGGCCAAATTTTCTTATCAGGCCGATAACGATAACATTAAAAATGAACATATATCGGCCGATACCGATATGGTGGCCGATATATCGTGCATCCCTAGCATTTAGCCAAATACCAAGAGTTGTGCACATGAATCATGATGATGAATCATTCACAATACGTCGACCAGGAATGAGGATTAAGAAAGTTAATAGTGATTTGATTTTGAATACTGCAATTTTTGCAACATAAATGTTAACCGAATTGTCAGAATCTGTGTGACTTGGTGATGCATTGGAATTGAAGCCAGTGTAGAATTAAATAAATCAACCTACCCACACACACACACACGCATATAAACATACAATCGCAAAAACTACACCAGCAGAGTGTTTTGGTTCGCACAGGGATGCAGTGATGGGCGTCTAGCAGTGAAACATCACATGATCAGGGTTCTGTAGAAATGAGTGTTTCTAGAGCGAACAGGCATAACAAACGAGCCCAGAGATGAAGATTACTATGAGAACGAGAGGAGAAGACGCGAGTCCATGTGTGGATTCACACTGATGTTCCTTCAGCCTTCAGAAGAACTCGCACACCTGCATGCTGCATATATCAAGCAATTTAATGTGAGTAAAACACATCGTCTGGCATTATTACGTCCTTCCACACACGTATGCTGCTCTTTTTTCTGTCCAACACGAACATTTCTGAAAAATCTTCATGCAACTTTTTCTCATACAACAAGTTATACGAGTGTCAAGCTCCAAAAAGGACGGACTGAGTTATTGTGTTTTCTACCTTATTACTAATTGATATTTTTGAATATGCAGGATTTGAGAATTGAGCAAATAACATCTTAACTGCTAACACTTTACAATAAGGTTCATTAGTTAATGCATTAACTAACATGAACTGACCATGAGCAATACATTTGTTACAGGATTTGTTAATCTTTGTTAATGTTAGTTAATAAAAATACAGCTGTTCAGTATTAATAAATGTGAAAATTAACATTAACTAAGATTAATAAATGCTGTATAAGTGCAGTTAATGTTAACTAATGAACCTTACTGTAAAGTGTTACCTCTTCATTTTGGATCTGGTTCCTCACACAAAGATTCATGTCTTAGTGCTACTAACTTATCATACTTATATAATACTTTTATATGGGGTTTGAGTCCATTTTAGAGCTTGAAGATTCTTAAAAAAATCTCATATTGCGCTTTAGAAAAAACAACAACATATGAATTTGGAAGCTGAGCAAATAATGTCAGTTTTCTTATTTTGTATGAGCCAAAATATGTTTTTTTTTCTTTCACACACAAAACTCAAAACATACAGTCCAAATCCACAGAGTATTTTTGAGGGACACGTATGATGAAATGATATGAGAGAGAGAGGGAATGAGAGAGAGAGAGAAACAGAGATGTATGACTGTTAGTCTGCTGGTGTAAGAAGACCTTCCAGCTCGAGCATCAGTTATTATACGCGTATTTCTCACGCTACAACTAAAACACACACATCCGACAGAAAAACACACTGAAAAACCAACGGGCCATACGAGGGAGCATGCGTTATTAATACAGAAACAAATTTGGATATAATGTCTACGGCTACTGTTGTGTGAAAAAACGACACAAATACTTAGTAAATTAAATTGACACAGACAAAATAAACCAGGATGAAATCTGAGAGGTAAGGATAGACCGATCGTTGCTGGACTGATGTATGAATCCTAATAAATCTGTTCTACGCTAAATTTGAGAACAGCATATGTTGATTTATGTGTAACTGTGGGTTTTTTTTTACTACAAAGTACACTAAAAAATGCTGGGTTATTTCAACCCATGTTTGGGTCAAATATAGACAAACCCGAACGTTGGTTTACATTTTTTAATTACATTTTAAACTCAAAAAACAACCCAGCATTTTTAGAGTGTAGTATTTATTAATATTTTGAATGTTTTTATTTTTATATATGCAGTTTTCATTTTTTATTTATTTAGAGGAAATCACAAAAGATTGACAACAAATGGCTCATTTATTCTCTCATCAGAACTTGCCATTAAAATAATGTCACATTGCAACAACAACAAAAAGGCTATATATAATATCTATATAATATAATCTATAATATTAATAAAATAGTAGAGTGGCCAAAAGTGACGTCCGGAGGTCATATTTGTTTTTAATGACCCTAAAAATTCGATTAAACCCTAAAAATATGAGGAAATTATTTGGTGACACTTTATTTTAAGGTGACATAGTTACACGTTAGTATATATACACTATAATAATAACAGTAAATTATGCATAATTAACTTATTCTAAACCAAACCAAAGTAAGTACATCATTAATATTACTCAGTACTTATTTGAGTAGTTACAATGTTTCTACGTCGCCTTAAAATAAAGTGTAACCAAAATATTTTACATTTTTAAAATATTTTAAATATGAGGGAAGAACAAAACACTAAACTTGGTTTAGGTATTTTTCTGACACAATTATTTGTTAAAAAACGGCAAAGAAACTCCAGCTACAGGTTTTATTTTACCATGCAAAAGCTGACTACAACATAATCAGCTATTAATATTTCACTGGTTCTTGTTTTTGCATGTGTTTTTCTACGATATCGGCACAACTTATCATGTTTCATTGCGTTATTATCACGAACAAAACAATCCACTCCAAGCATAACTGCAATATGCTTACAAAGTCTTTAATAATATTTTTAATAAAGGATGAAGATGTACATTTTCCTCGGCTGGGCATCACTTCTGGCCACTTCTATATGTAATTTTGACCATATTCCTGTTACAAAATCTGCACATGCAGACACCGATAGACACCCGATGTTAATCATTACAGTTCTGTCATCATTCACACACTTAAAGAGGTTTGGAACGGCATTAGTGTGAGTAAACGATGACAACAAACTCATTCATCCTTTAAGATTTTTCAGACCCAAAACATTATATTTATAATATCACCACCTAATATAAACGACATCTACGACTTTTGCCATAACGTCCAGCCATCGGTCTATCCGTACGTTTAAGATAGACGTGGACGAACGGAGCTTCGTTCCTCTTTACCTTCTCACTACATTTGTGAATGGTGGAGGAGAGCTCGCTCACAACCATATCTATACATTTGAGGCACGGCCCGTTTATCTTTTGGATCTGCTTTTTCACTATGGCCTCAAAGGCCAGGTCAGGGGTGAACAGGCCCGTCCTGCAGAGGAAGAGTCATGGAGAGAGAGGAGAAGAGGTGGAGGAATGACAGATAGACAGGGTTGGAGGGCAGATAGATAGACAGCACAGAGGAAAGAGAAGTGAGACATTTGGTTTCTCCTCAAGCCATTCGACAGCGAGCCGAAGAGAAGTCGACCCGTGGCCGAGACCCAAGCCTTCAGAAAGCAGATGCGCAGACCAAAGGCAGTCCGAGAGCCGTTATTAATGATCGAGCATCAATTATATATATATTTTATACACATTTATATCTGTTCTGATGATTTTTTTACAGTTGTAACGGTTGCTGATTTATAAAAATAGAATAGTAGAATAGAATAATTTTATTTACTGATCTATAAGTATTATTATAATTACTATTATTATTATTAAAAAATACAGTGCTACCACTACTACCACTCCTACTTTTATTTTCATGAATGCTGTTTGTTGCCAAGTACTACCACCACTATTTTTATCTTTGTTTTAATTATTATTATTAATATGAATACTGCCTCTACATTCTCTCTACTGACTCTAATTCTATTACAATTACTATGATTATCTCAATATTGCTTCTATCTAAATCTCTAAAATATCCCATTGCTTAAACTTACCAATGTACCTGCATACATCAC